TCTGGTTTATCAGATTAAAACAATTTGTTTTTAAAGAATCTAGGTGACTATGAACAACTAACATGTACGTGGGATATTTTACAGCAAAAGCTTCAAAAACCCCACTGCCTGCTCGAGATGGTCTCCAAAAAACTACACCATGTTAGTATTGCTCTGACTTTTATAACATCAAGAATATTAATGGGCCCACAGGAGATAAACCAATAGGCAATCCCCCACTCTACATACTAAACAAATTATAGTAATGGACACCAAAATTATCATTCATTAAGAATAAACTGCCATAAAAGCTATCATTTGTGATACTATTTTTCCAAGATAAAAATATCTGCAACTGAAAATAATGGAAAATAGATTGCCATTAGCAATGCTGAGTCACCACTCTGTTGAATTTCCTGCTAGGTTAATTAAACTGTGGTTATTTTTCTTTTCTCCATTAAAAAAAATAAAAGGCTTATTTTCTAGTCCCTCAAACACATGTATTATTTCCCAATGGCAAGTGCTATCGAGTGATTGTACCACTCAATGGTCGGAAAAAGGGATTCAATCAGGCAGGTCTAACAGGAACTCTTTTCAGCATGTACTTTTCGTAATGAACCTGGAAATGCATACTTAGCTAAGAACAGATTGGTGAAAAAACACAAAATCCAACTGTTTGAAAAAAATAACACAAAGTTTCTGAGAGAAACTTTCATTATTTCATACATTCCAGGGTTGTTTACAACATTTCTTGGCAGACAGGTAGAGGGAAGGAGGAAAAAGTTAAAACGCTGATATGTAAGCGACATTCTCCCACCTCAAAAAGTTCCCACCTTAATTTTTAAGGGATTACTATAGTGTGCTAACTCCACAAATAAACAAAGAGCTGAGGGAAATGAAACAGAAGAGTAGTAATTTAAGAGTTGAGCAACAGGACTTACAGAAAAGGTTAAGGTATAGAACACAGTTACAAAACAGCCTGAGAGTATACATCACAGAAAAAGTTAATTACTGTACTAGTTCTGCTACATCTACTCTGAGCACCAATTCATTTCTGAGTGCAATTCCAGATGTTCAATCATCCAGAGTCCTGGTTACTTTAGAGACTGCAATTCTTTATCAAAATAACTAGGCAAAGAGTCCAGAAACTCTTGTTTCTGTTAAACAAATGAATCTTTAGCTAGGGCAAAGACAAAACTTCCTCTGAAAGTTTCTTCCTAACTTTTCTCCCTCCTGCTTCTCTTGACTTTAAATTTCTGTTACTCAGCTTCAAGGAGAAGCACAAATACTACCCTCTTGATTTTAGACTGATCTACACAGTACTAAAAATGGTATCTTCTCAGAAACCCTTGTTTTTTTAGCACAATTGACATGATATTTTGACACTGACATCAGGGTTAAGTTAGAAACAACATGACAATAGACAAAATATTTTAGAGCTTTAGAAGTAATTTTATATGATTTTATCTAAGACAATATTTTTTATTTGTTCAGACGCTATCTACAAAAAAATTAACACACAAAAAAGGAGAGACTGGAATATTTACACTGGAGAAGGTTAAAGGTAAAATAGTTCTAATAGTTCTAAAAAATACTTTTGTTTTAAAGAAAATAAGCTCTTCTGGGATATCATCAAGTATGCAAAACTTCACTAAAGACACATATCAACCTTTGGAGTTCTGCTCCTAAGAGTGGTAGCCACAGGGAAGCAATAATGAGACTGAAGAAACAGGTTTTGCCATCTTCGGAATTCAAATGAGGCCAAAGATCCTAAACATTCTGTATGAAAGTAGACTATTTTTGATATTAGGAGTGCAAGCCAAACATCTCATTAAGCAAGAGAAAACTGAATATATTAATTTAACTCAACTCCCCATGAAACCTCAATAAAAGGACAGTGAAAGAACAGATTATGGATAAACTCAAAAGGCCAAAGACAACAACCACAGACTTAGATGACAGTGAATTTATAGAAGAGGACAGATGGAGAAAAAGAACAAGCCCATGTGCCTATAAGGAACGGATAACTGACAAAGAAACTGACTCACCTTTGAAGGCTCTGGATTTTTTTGTCTGCTTTTGAGGTCAGGGTGGAGAAGAGAACATCTAAAAACACAAGTCTGATAACAAATTTTTGAAAGGACCCTAGGCACTTAACTTGTCTTCATTCCCTATCAGAGAAGTTCAACAGCAGACTGACACAGCATTGAGGCACTGAGCAGGAACAGACTGGAGGAGTCCACCAGAAAATAAAGAGCCCAGAGAAAATGTTATAACTACTGAAAGTTTGCCCCCCCCCACCCCACACACTTTTTTTTTTTTTAAGCCTGTTTTGCCAGAGGACCAAGCCTAAAGTGAAACCCAAGGCAGACAAGCTTCTCCCATAATATAAGAAGCCCTAATCAGTTTTCAGACCTTCACTTTTATTTATGAATGAAATTTAAGGAAATTTCCACTAGGAAAGACAAAAGTTTAAAACTGGGGAGAGAAATGACCTAAGTCATAATAACAATCCAGTAAACACAAGAAAATCTCAGAACAATGAAATTATAAATAATATTTAAAGGAAAAAGAAGCAGCAAGCATTGGTGCCTCCACGAAACAAGATCAAAAAAATAAAAGTAATATTCTGAAATAAAAGGTACAAAGCACTGGACAAAAAAAGTTGAATAATCTAAAATGTAAAATAAAAATGCACATGATAAAAGTGGGAGAAGAAAAAGAGAAATCAATCTAAGTGTTTCAAAGTGCAACTAATAGTGTCTCAAGAAAGACAAAATAGAGAAATCATTTTGATAGTAAGGAAATTATCCAAAAAATAGTATCAGAAATGCTCAAGAACTGAAAGAAGTAAATCATCAATCTGAATAGACCATAATACTCAAATTAATAGCAGAAGGGAGACCAAGACACATCATGAAATTTCAGAGCATTGTTGAAAGAGAATATTCTAAAATTTCCCCCAAATTTTTCTGTTTTGTTTTGGAGGAGGCACATACAGATCCAGAGATCAAGAATCAGAACTGGGGCCTCCCTGGTGGGGCAGAGGTTAAGTCTCAGCACTGTCACCTTTATAGCCGGAGTTTGATCCCTGGCCAGGGAGCTAACCCATATACAGTGCAGCAGACCTCTCCTGTCTCACCCACTGATCCCCTTGCAACGTATTTCAGTTGATCTGCCAGTTGTGTTCCCCACTCTGTCTCTGGTGAAACCACTCATCCCCCTGCACCTCTGGCCTACACCCCAGTTCTTATATGCATAAATAAATAAATCTAAAAAAAAAAGATATCAGTCCTCTCAACAGCAAAAGAAGATGAAGGAATGCTAGGATATGTATCTAGTCATAACGCGACCAAAACTTTTTTTAATTTTTTTTTTTTCATAGAAGAACTAGGATGTAGGCCAGAGGTGCAGGGGTTAAGAGGATTCACCAGAGATAAAATTCAGAGTAGAACAGGCAGATTTACTGAAATACACTGCTGAGGGGAGCAGTAGACGAGAGAGGAGAGGTCTGCTCTGCCATGTGGGTTAGCTCAGTGACCAGGGATCAAACTCAGTTGTGATGGGCTGAGCCTTACCCGTAGGCCAGCAGGGAGGCCCATAACCAAGACACAGGTTGTCAAAGTTTTTGCCCCATGCACACTTCCTACAGAAATTATAGAATGTGTTCCACAAAGCAAAGGAGAAAACCAAGAAAGTAGATAGGACCTAGAGAAAGAGAAAAGTCAAAGGAATCTTCAGGGTGATGGGGGTGTCAGTGGGGAGAGTACGGCCACCAGCAAAGGCTGACGAACAGGAGACAGACTCCAGAGGGCACAGGGATGGGAAAGGAGGGTTAAAGGGGATGACACAGTGGAAACTGAGAAGCTCATCTTAGGTGTTTTTGTTTTGATTTTTCCTTTTGTAAGTTCTGTTGAAGACTTTTGGGAAGAACAAATTAAAATTAAGGACATAGAAAAATAGACATGATTAAGTCCATATTGGGAAAATGGGGAAAAGTGAAATTGGGGGGATGTTTGACAGGGATGGTGGTAGAAGGGAGCTAAATTTCTTCTCTACTGTAACTGTAACAGACTCTCAGTAGATTTATTTTTAATACCATTACAGCATTTTATAAGAGTAATTCCAGAAAAGATAGCCAGGGTAGTAATAAATGTAGTCTTCTCTGGGGAAGGGCAGAACAGGGCAGAGTCTGCTGATTCTATGTTAGAAATGTAGTATACTTACAGAGAAGATTCCTAAGCTAGGAAAATATATACACACTAACTGCTTTCCTCAAATCACATAAGAAATCTCATACATCATAATTACACACTAGTACTTAGTGACATCAAATTGTTCAATAGCATATACAAGTATGCTATCACCAATATTTTAAAACACTCGCCATGGACTCACCTTAGCAATACAGTACAACAGCACGAAACTAAACTACCATGACAATTATATCATGCAAATTTGTGTTGTTTTCGGATGACTGAGAAAAGAGTTAAAAATTCTAAAGAAAATCTTCCAAAGCTTTAATAATCTACAATTATGAAAATTATTTCCACAAGATTGGGACTTTTGTGTATGTGTGATGTTTTATCCTTTTTATCTCTACTACCAGAAAAATGACTGAAGTAAATTGACAAAGACTCCAGAGACACAAGGAGGCAGTAACAAAACTGTACATACACCTATCTGCACATCTAGAACACTTATATTTAGACATTTAAATAGTTCTCAAAGAAAAGAAGATATGTGGTATAGGCCATGTGAAATTCAGATTATGAGAAAAGGCTGACACACAAAAGAAAACAATCAGGCTGACAAATTAGAAACTATTCTGAGACTCTTAAGACTTCAGACAACTTTGTTTCCATTAAAGATAATTCTAAAATTCCAAATCAAAGTTTTTTGGCATTAAGTCTACTGTTACAAATAAACAACTTTCCTTTAATAAGTTACAAAATGCATTCATCATCTTTAAAACTACTTTCAACCTTAACTTTGATAGCTAAGTATCAATATATACTTACATTGACTAATCCAAAATAGTGCTCATTGACTGGAAACTGTTCTGGACCAATCTCTTTCTCTAATGCCGAGGCATTGGCGCCCTATAAAATGAAAAACAAAAATTTCAGTATTTATAGTACTTTCATAATGTTGTCACATTCACATTTATACACATACCACAGAGACATCCGCTAAAAAACTATGTTTTAAATAGCACATAGTGTATATAAAATATCACATTGCAAATGGGGTGGAAGAATGTACATTACACATACTGGAATCCAGACTGGGAGAGAGCTAGGATATGGAATTGGGGGTGAAAGATTAAAAGGATAAAGTAAAATGTAATCCCATGAAAAAGGGTCTTGTGCAGACTATAATCATGGTCATGGTCTCAGAAACAAGATCAACTCAGGTCTGTGCATCTGACAAAAGTGAGGGGGAACCAAAACTTTTGAGGACCATAACACAGACACTACTAAATGGCCTCTGAAACAGTTTGAATGGGAATGAGAGCAAATTTGAAGGCATGGTAATGTTGCATATGTTTACTTGAAAATCTCCCTAAAAACATACTACCAGATAATAACTTATACATTATAAAATACCCAAACACCACCTTGAATACTACTTTGCAGAACCAGATACAAGACAGCGAACAAACACTACCACCATAGGCACACTGGCCATACCACCTTGGTGTGCAGATGCCCCTCCTGCTGTTCTGACTGAGCTCCATTCCTGAACCTAGGAAGCCCAGAACCTGACAAGATACTACACCCTCAACTTCCTAATGAGTCCAACCTGAAAAACGTTGATTAAAGGGTGGGATCAGTGGTCAAGTTCCACAAATACAAGGCCATTTCTTCTAATACCCTCCAGTCATCCAGCACTGTATAATACACTATACTGTCTTTATTTAGGAACTAATTTTAGGCTTAATAGAAAATCTTGATATAATCACTGATTCACAGATGCTATTTATTTCTAAATTTGGCTATCAATTAACTCTTTTATAACAACATCAAATTATAGCAACAGCAAGTTCCAGTGAACAAAACTATCTTGGTGGAAATGTTACAAGTCCCACTCCCCATCTCCATCAACTCAAGTACTTTGTTACAAAAGCTCCTCAAATATATTGAAAACTAGCCATAAGTCCAGATACTGGTTTACTCAAATGACTACAACCACTTCCTGACAAATAAAGAAAAAGTGTTGTAATCCAAAATGTAACATTTATGTGAAACAACAAAATGTGAATAAAGCTTTCTGGCCCTTCCTGTTACAGAGGCATCTCCACAAAAGGGGGAGGTGCATCTCAGCACAGTAGGGCACCATCTGTCCTGCCCCCACTTACATGCAGCAACCATGGACAAGTCCAGATATGCCACACAGTGAAGCTACTGGGATCTAGGGCAAGAGCTGAGCAGCCACCACACAAGAAGGCAGGCAGAGACCTCTACTTCTGAAAACCCAACTTCCACCCAGGTACAGCTGGGAAGGAGAGTCTTGGAAGAGAGACACATGGGGAGGCAGGTAATGGTTATCTTGATTTGTACTTCAATTTTGTCCCTTTGGTCCCAGATTTGTCTAGCCTCTTTCGCCCCTTCCCTGTGTTTCTCTGCCAGAAGGTGCATTAGACTTGTGGTAAGCTTTCAGGCCCCAGTGGTCCCACTTAGAGCCAACACTATGGCTAGATATTTACCCACAGGGGGATAGGTAATTTGGGATGTTTCATTGGGAAACTATTACTCTCTTCCCTCTCTAGGCACAATAAAGATCTTTTCACACTAAGATTCTGCTTTGCCTTTGTGTATATGGATAGCCAGAACCCTTCAGAGCTTGCAATTTGGGGGGTCTATGAGTATCCCTCAGCCTCACACTAATATCATGATGAATAAGAACAGAACAACATGAATGTTCTCGCTCTCCAGTGTAATACAAGCACATGCCACATGCACACACTGTATTTTAAACACATCTCGCCATAGCCTGCTTGTCCCCATCTACTTTCATGTATTGCTTAGAAAGCTATTCCCCCACCCCTTGTCCTATTGTAGTTTTGACTGTGGGTCACTGGCTTCAAAGTTAGTAGCTTCTCTGTGCCTCAGTTTCCTAATTGTAAAAGGAAATGTCACCAACTACTGTACAGTGTAGATACATGAGTTTAAACTTTTGCAAAAGTATCATGTGGTGTCTTGGTCATAAGCAGGCATCCATAAATATTGTTTCTCTTTTCCCCTTCCCAACAATCCCAAAAAGCTGCTCTCATGAGCCAGGAAGTCTCCTCCAGCTCCAAGTTTACCTGTTGAGTTTTCAAGTTAAGTCTTTACACAAATTAAAGTTTTCATGGCTAGGGCCCTCTCTGATGATGCAAGGGGTTAAGCAGAGCACTATGAAGCAATCCACAGCCTCTGCAGCATGAGTTCAATCCCCGGCTGACCAGGGAGCAACCCACATGGCACAGACCTCTCCTGTCTTGTCCGCCGCCCCCCTCAGCAGTGTATTTCATCAGTCTGCCTGTTCTGTTCCCCACCATGTCTCTGGTGAATCCTCTCACCCTCCCACATCTCTGGCCTGTACCCCAGCTCTTGTATGCATAAATAATCTTAAAAAATAAAAATAAATAAAGTTTTCATGGCTAAATATGTTTAGGAAACTGAAAGCCTAGGTAATTTCTAAAGTCTTTTCTAAATCAACATTCTATTATTTCCAATCACTTTATCAACACTTCTAAGGACATGACTACATTAACGTAAAATTCCAGGAAATTCAAGCCAACCAATATATGCCAAGCAAAACAATTTAACATGGAGATAATTATTGTGATAGATGGAGTAAAGGTAACATAGGGAAACAGAAATTACAAAGGAAGAATGGAATTTACTTTATGATAGCTTCAGTTAAAGTGCAACATAGTAGCTTACACCTTACCACAGGTAGTTCTGCTATGCAGCAGATTCTATGAATGCAAGAGGATACTTTTAGGGCATTCAAGATTTTCTCTGAAGAAATGATCAAAGCACATCCCTATCTCGCTAAATGCACACTACAAAAGCAAAGAGTATCTGCTATGCAAATCCAGTTTCTGGTGAGTGGGTTTTTTAATGTGTTTTTAAAAATCACAGTTAGATGTAAGTGGTGAAAACCAACTACCAAGCTAAGATTTTGCTGTACGATTTCTAGTTTCTTTAGGAGACTGCTCAGACATTAAACCTTGAATTTTTTTTGTCCAAGTCTAACAAACTATTATATCATGTCTAACAAACTACTATATCATGTCAGCGATCAATCAAGTACCCCAAGATTTAAATTAAAACTTAAGCCAAAATCCAAGCATAATTGTTCTAAACAATTTTACATTCCTACATTTAAGAAATATGATGGGGGGGCATTAGGGAGGGGTGGGAAGAAGAAGAACAAGAGTCAAAATAAGGGAGGGATGCAATTGTATGGGCAATATAACTAAAATGAAAATGCATACATTGTACAAAGATGAAAAATGATGTAAGAATTATATAAAATAAAATATTAAAAAAGGAAAAAAAATATGATCTGTTATAATTAATAATGGTTTCTGAAATTAGTGATTATAAAGGGGAGGAATTGTGCTCAGTTAAGAATTTTTGCTCAAAAGCTTTCAGCGGTATCAGGATTCATTTGTTTTGTCTGATTACATAACATGCACAATACATTTTTTTCTGTTTTGCCTTAATTTTTTAACTTAAATTAACAATTAGATCATTGCCTACTAATACAGAATTCATTATGAAAAGAAATTACTCATGGCCCCACCCCTTGAAAAAACAAACAAAAGATATAAGAATTTTAAATTTAAAAATTAATAGTTTACTGGGTTTTTAGAGAAAATAGAGTCTGCAAAAACAAACAAAAGTAATGGTGGAATGGCAAATGTCAAAGACGGATTTCACTTAAAAGTATTTGCCAACACTAGTGAGTGACCTTTAGACTCTCATTCTGACAACTGAATGAAATGGAGAACAGGAAAAACCAGAGCTAAAACATAGGGTCCAGCCAAGAAAGAAACACCTACAGAAGACATTGATGCTAGGATCTGGAAGGAACTATATCTTCAGTCAAAGGGAGAATTAAAAAAAAAAAACCTGTACCACAGGAAACTTGCCTGTCTTACCCTTAGCACTGGGGCAGAGGGTAGAAATAAATATCTCCCTAAAATTCATAATCACAAGTTGGCCCTCGTCAAGTTTGTGACCCAGATTCACACAAGTTACATGATTTTTTAAAAATCCACCTCAAGCAGGGAATTTAACTCAAAGAGATTCAAGTTGATAGTGCCCTCTCCTCTTCCACCCCACAAGTGGCAGGATTACAAATTTGCCAGGGGAAAGAAAAAAAACAGCTTTTGCCCACCCCACAATTAAATGCCAAAAATAAAATTTCAACACATTTGAGTTCATAGTGTAAATATCATATACATACACAAAAACAACAGGAAAACAAAGTGTCATGAATAGAAGCACAGACAGCAGAATTAGACTCTTAAATATCACAACTATTTCAGGTATAATACAAAAGAAATGTTTAATATGTGCCAAGAAATAACAAATGCTTGATTATAAAAACAAAGACTCTAAGGCCTTAAGGCTTAAGCTGAATTTCTAAAGAACCTAATAAATTTCCAAATATAAAAATTATAAAATTTACAACAAATAAAATCAGACAGGGCTTCCCCGGTGACGCAGTGGTTGAGCGCTGGGTTGCGAAGCTGCCCACAGCCTCTGCATCGCCAGTTCGATCCCCGGCCAGCTGGCGAGGGTCCCACATGGCACGCAGACCTCTCCTGCCGCCCGCTGCTCCCCTCAGCAGTGTATTTCATCAGTCTGCCTGCTCTGCTCTCCACTCTGGCTCTGGTGAATTCTCTCACCCTCCCGTGCTTCTGACTGTACCCAGAGCTTGTATAAATAAATAAATAAAAATCTTAAAAAAAAAAAAAAATCAGACACTTGGGGGCCTTCCTGGTAGCCTAGGGGTTAAATCTCAGGGCTATCACCACAAAAGCCCATGGCAACACCCTGAGTTCAATCCCCAACCAGCAAGCTAACCCACATATAGTGCA